CTTCATGGAGCAGGTCCAGAGGAGGGCCACAAGAATGATCAGAGGGCTGGAGCACCTCTTCTATTACAACAGGCTGAGAGAGTCGAGTTTCTTCAGCCTGGAGAAGAAAAGGCTCCATGAAGATCTTAAAGCAGCATTCCAGTACCTGAACAGGGGTCTACAGAAAGCTGGGGAGGGACTGTTTACAAGGGCATGCAGCAGTAGTACAAGAGGCAATGGTTTTAAGCAATGGTTTTAAACTATAGCAGGACAGATTTATACTAGACATTAGGAAGAAGTTCTTAACTATGAGGTGGTGAAACACTGGAACATGTTGTCCAGAGACGTGGGGGAGGTTCCATCCCTGGAGACACTCAGGGTCAGGCTTGATGGGGCTCTGAGCAACCTGATCTAGTCGAAGACATCCTTGCTTACTACAGGGGGTTGGACTAGATGACCTTTAAAGGTCCCTTCTAGCCCAACACATTCTACGATCCTATGTTTCTCAGTTCCTGTAAACTATATTGTACATACCCTAAGCGGCTGGGCAAACACAACATTTAAACCTAGAGAACTAGATTTTCCAGTGGTCTAGAGGCCCTTTGCACATTTTTGTTCCTGACTACCTGTGAGACTCTAGGTCTTATTGAAATTACAACTAAAAATGCTAAGAGCCCTTTTAGTAAGCAAGAAGAGCTGCTTGAAAGATTTCGTTAGCTTAAATCAATTTAAACAGTGCATTATTAAACAATAAATTGATATGGGTCACTTGCTAGGTCTGCAAATTAATTGCAATTTAATACGCCAGGTTTTCACATGAGGCAAAATATCACCTCGTAATAATATTGCAGAATTATAATACTGTGCCACTTTCTACATAGTGATTGTATGCCAACCTACAATTAAGCAGATAGTTCGTCATGAGCGATGAAATACAAATGACATGGAAACTTTGTCAATTATTGTCACCTACTGCAACTATTAGCTCAGCTATCAACTAAATACTCAAATTGAGGCTTCTGGTCTCCTAGAGATGGTCCTTCCAGACAGGTGTGGATGCTTACAGCCAGAGTTGAGCTTGCCAAGGGCTAGCAGGACAGAGTGTGCAATGGACTCAACGGTTTTAAGAAATTATATAGTGACCAGGAGAGAAGAGAGCAGAATCTTGGTACCTGCCAGAATATATCTGGTTAGTGAAATATCCCTGTCTTGCAAATGGTTCATCAGGTAGATCTCACCAATGCTCACTATGTTTAAAACCTAGTGGAAATAATTATAGGTGGTGAGTATGGCATCAGAATGAAAAATATAGAGTAATAAACCACCTGAAAACCTCCAAACTGCTGGCATCATTCATCAATCTGCCCTATCCTATGCTCTTTGTCACATGACAAGGGTCTGGCAGAGGTCCAGCCAGTCTTTCTAATCCCAAAAAGCCATTCTCACTAACAGCCATAAACGTAACATGAAAAAGACAAGCACAAGGGTGTGCAATGGGTTAACCAAGAGCAGAGGTGAAAGAATTATCTTTACTGTTCAGTGCCCTTCCTCATCCCTTCCACTATCGGGCTCCAACAACACAGAGAAATAAGCCATGCTTCGGTCTTGAAAGAAGAACATACGGAAGCTCACTAGTCATAAGGGAAAGATCTTTCAGTGGTTACTAACATAGCTGCACAAAGGAAATAAATGAATTTCTAGTCATAATATTTACATTTCAATCAGAAGTGCTGCAAATTTTAAGTAGGCAAATAAAGTTGTTCATTTAACACCACATGTGTAATAGCACATTGTTTTATATCATCGTCATCATCCACTTTTAAGTCAATAGAAAGGTTTGTAACATGAGATTTTTCAGGAATCCTACAGCAACACATACACACGAACACACACAAATCACATGTAAGTAGCTTGCATAAGGTAAGTAAGGTTAATGGCAAAAGCTTCTTTCTATGCGGAAGAAATTGAACATTAAAGCTGCAGCATAAGGAAAAAAAGGTTTAAAAACAAGAAATGAAGTTGTACAACAGATGAGAACTTAACAAAATTGGTGACCTTTCCACACAGATGAAGTCAGGTTAAAAAAAAACCAACAAACCAAACCAAAACCAAAGGGACCAAATGAGACCAAAAGAGAACCTCCCCCCCACACACATACAGACAAAAGTGAGAGCACAACAAAGGAAGTGGAAGAAAAGTGTTACCCATAAGTAGCCGCCGTTTCACCCGCTTGTCCACATCAGCTACTGACGTGGCATTGTACTCAGAACTCTCAATTGCAGCCTCATCCTTCTCTAAAACACAAGTAAGGGACAAACATGGAGCAGTTGGTTAATCACAAGCCCAATTTTCCACTGCCTAAGACAGTTTCTTGGCACGGCACAGCCAAAGCCAAGAAGCAAGGCATGAAAGCACTAAATCCCCGTTAGAGAGTTAATTCCCTTTGAGACTCCAGGAAAAAATAAAGGTGTTTAGGGAAAGTAGGAAGAAAAAGGGGAAGGAGTAGAATGGTCAACTATGAAGTAATTAACCACATACAGGAAGCTGGATTCCTACTGGAGAACAAGACAGCTAACGTGAGTGCCCCAGAGAAGTGTTAATGATGAAAATTAAAATTCAGGTATCAAAGACAAACTGTAAAGTGATTCAGGCTAATGGTGGTACAAGGATCTGAAGGTGGCAGGCCGAACACCGAGATAGACAGAGAGCGAGCCAGAAGAGTCCGGTGATGGATGGGCAGAGATGCACCACAGTCTTGTACACATTGACACGTGAGGAGAAATCAAACAACAGCATGCGACTTAAACAAAAACAACAAAAATAAACAAACAACAAACCAAACAAACACAAAAAAAGATCAATTTGGGCAGTGCTGGTTGCCTGCTTGTCTATGAAACACTACTAGCTAAACATTCAATGCTAGGAAAGATGTTGCAAGAACAGGGTTTAGTAATTTTATAAGCATGCAATAAGCAAGATGATGTCAGCAAAGGTCATTTTCATAGGTAATCTCTGATATCCTACATGTAAGAGTTTCATACAGCATAATGAGGACTTTAGTTTGGTTATGCTTCATTAGAAATACACAGAAACAGTCACAAGTGTGGGAAGAGATGATCAGTAAGTGAAATAAAAACAAAGATTTCTGATATAGGAGAGCAACGGAGAAGCAGCAGCTGGGTAAATGAAATGATTTATACAGAGAGGGAAATGCTTATTAGGAAAACAAAAAAAATTAAGTGGGGACTTTCACATGCAGCAAACATAAAAAAAATAAATAAAAGGATAAGTCAAGCAAACAAAGACAAAATATGTTAGACAAAGGGTCAACAAGTATTTATCTGGCATTGCAGAAGTTTGCATTCTTGCAGTGATGCCTGGAACACATACACCACTGAAGACAGCAAACACTGGAATCACTGAAGTGAGGAGGAGGAGGAGGCTGGCAGGTTTTGTTTGTGGCCACACTACATGGTTGAGTGGTAGCAAGAAGTTGTTTTGTTTTGTTTTTAACAAGTTCTAGATGGGATCAGGCTGCAATAGAGGCTTTTGTTTGAGTTTTTTTATTTTGCTCTGTAAATAATTAATGAACGTCAGTTATCAGACAAGACAGGCAATCAGGAACCATCACCAGAAAGCAGGAATAAAAATGTAAAAAAAAAATAAATTAAAAGTATTCTAGGATAAAGAACTACTCAGGGAGAAGAAAATCAGCACAGGCAGTAATATGTGACTTACATCACAAGACCAAGGAATGTAACATGGAGTTGTATGTATTACATTACAAAAATGGGAAAAAAAGTAAAAAACAGGTGCAGTATACAAAGCTTTTAAAATAATTTTTACATGCTGGACTAAACAAAGCATCAGTCCAAGGATATCAGTAAACACTAACAAAGAGAAGATCATTTATCCATTTAATAAAGCCTGCTCTCAAGGCCCTCGCTATAAGCTGAGACACAGCTTGTACACACAGCCAGGCAGAATCCAGCACTGAACCTTGGTTCAGCTCTACCCCTGCCAGCATAACCCTCACCCTACCACACCATGTGTGCAGTCAAACCCATCTACAAGTGAGTGAGGGTCTGGGCAGCCACAGAGTTTTATGCCGTGGATCTGGCCAAGGGATCACTAAAGATAACTGCCAGATTTCCACGGGTTTTAAGTGCTCTGTCTTGCAGTACTGATAAAGGAGAGAAAAGATGGTAAATATCTGTCCATTTGGTTTTAACCTCAGGAAATTACTAGGAATTTGTAAGCATTTGAAATGAAACAAACAAAAAAGGTCAGCGTGACCACAATGCTAACGAAAACCGTTATGAATTTTAGTATCTGATCGGTGAGTAAGAATTTCCAAATTTTAACTTGCAGTATGCAAAAATTTTTGTTTGTTTGTTTTTGGAAAAAAGCACAGTGGAAAGACATGCTCTTAAGCCAATAATATATTTTATAACCATAAATGTTTGCACAGCATCTCCCAAGATGCTCCATCTCTTGAACGGCTTTTTCCTACTGATATTCTGAGTGAAAACTTATTCATTACAAATACTGCAATTTTTAGAATCACAAAACACACATGTAAGAAAGCACATCATGATGATTAATTTACCCCGATAACAGCTTAGAAAAGAGGATCATTTTCCTCACCTTGCTTATGCAAGGAAGTCTAGACTAAGGAGAGCGAATGGAAGAGCTTCACTCTCATTCATAATTGTGAATGTTTTACACCTTTTACTTCAAAAATTGTTAGAGTTATGCAAAGAAATAAAAGTTACAAAGGAGTAACAAAGGGATACTTCATTAACAAACGTTTTGACAAAACACGCACAAATGCTTCTCTCTATATACAGTGTGACCTTAGCTACTACAGTGAGGAACTGCTGTGATGCGGTTCTCTCAGCAACGGTGCTAAACGCCTCTGAGATGCAAACACACACGCGCACACATACACACATACAAAATGTGCACATATATATTCTAGGAGGAATAGAAAATAAAATGTGCTGCAGAGAGGTACTTACCAATGCAGGTTCGGCCATCTGAATGTAGGGCATACTTCTGGTGACAACCACACACAGGACCATTATCTGTGTCATCACAGGTGTGCTGGCAGCCTCCATTCCCATAGTTACAGGTTACTAGTTAAGCCCCAAATGAATGTGTATATATGTATATAAATAAAATGACAATGAAACCAATTAGTCTTGAGAGTCTTTCAGAATACAGAAGAGCAGTAACATACCAAAACGTAAGGCAACATAACATTTGTACTTGCAATTATTTGCATTTTTTATTCTTTCTGCCACCCCCTTATCTTAGCCATGCTCTTCTCTAACGCCCTACTCTCAATCCATGCAGTGAAGGAAAAAAAAAAGAAAGAAAAAAAGAAGCATGTTCTACTTTGTATCCAGTCTATTTGTATTCATAATTGTAATATGAGTGGTTAGCCAATTCCACCTCTTCCTAAAAGCTGTATGTTTAATAACAGTGAAGTATATGGCACGAAGAAATGAGCAGTTGACTAAGGCAGATGTATATTTTCATGTCTACAGACAGCATTTCTCTTTTCCTTCCCCCCCATTTTATAAGTGGAGGAAGGAGAGACCAACCACATAAGTCTTGAAATCTATTATTTCAAGTACTTGTCCTCCTAGAGTAGAAGAATGTTTAAAAATGAAACGGGAAGCATGTTTTTTTCCCCTTTCTTCTCTGAAACAAAGAGTACATGGTTGTTAGGGCCCTGCAGTGCACTGGCCTCAACTAGGAAGGAAATATTGGAAATGTTACTTTCACTTCTGAGCAAGATGTCTTTTAGCAATTAAAATATCCTCTGATGAAAAAACATTAAACATACATTAAAGCAAATATTTTTCATGACAGGTAGAGATTTTAAGTTTGCATTAATTAACAGATCAGATTCAATTCCCTTTGTGACACAGTGGTTTTAATTTCTGACTATTAAGACAAACTGTTTTTTAAACATTAAACTGGCTAGCCATTAAAAACACCTCTCATTTGCCCATTCCATTTAATCCTTTGCAGTCACATAGCCTGATGCTGAATAACACAATTCTGATCTTACTGAATTCTGAATTCAGTTTACTGTCTTTATATAGAGGTAATTTGGACTAGGTTCTTATTGGTATATACATACTGGCAGATACATGGGATTTCCAATACACGTTTATTCAGTTATACTCATCATGTTTTGAATGTTACAGCAATTTAAATACTGACTACTGTAATTTAACTATTGACTCCTACTAATCAGGAGGAACCTCCTCACATTGGTCTTAGCAGAATTTTCCTTCTAGATAAGACAGTTTATAAAAGAGCCAGGGTAGCAAATTGCAATACACAATAAACCCAAGATGATGGCTAACAGGATTTTAAAATCATGAGTCTAAACCTAAACCGAGGTTCTACCTAATCCAATAGGGCTAAGATAACATAATTTCCCATTGACCTCAATGACTCTGCTTTAAAAGCTATCTTCTTAAAATGGAGTAGACTGAAATTTTCAGTCACAATAAATAGAACTGAAATAGCCCACCTCTAGTGTGAGTGTCCCAGTGCTGAACAGTCATGCCACTCTCAGCAGTCACTAAAGTATTTAGCTTAAAATGGATGATCTAAGAAAAGCAACAGAGCACAGCATACCCAGTCGAATTCCCATTAAAACCCCCTGTCAGCGTGGGAACTGCAAGTTTACATCAGTAGTCCCCAAAGTCTGGCAAAGACCACCACAGAAATTAGCCATCTCCCAAGTGAGCACAGACCAGAGGCCACCACAGGTGCAAAGCATCCCTGTACACTCTAAAGAAAATCTTTGCGTTGTTGCAGAGAGGGAATAGTCTCGTGGCCTAGTGGTAAGAACAATCCCCAAGAAGAGGGTCTGCCTGGATTTCCACCTCTCCTCCCAGGAATATTGCTGTTTTATCCAATAGGAAGGAATGCCAATGAGAAAGACAGAGAGCAGCCTGAGCCACATTCCTTTATCAGAGCTCGACAGTTTGGGCACTAGGCTGGTAAATGGGAATTGTGGATTCAGTTCCACCAGACAGGGGAGGGAATTGAACTCATGTACCCCAAGTCACAGGAATCCTGAACTTTAAAGAAATTACATTAAAATAGACCCCTAAGCAATAACCGCTCTCAGGCGTTCTTTCTCCTTCTCCACTTTTATAACTTAACTACTGATTGCTTTTTGTGAAAACACACAGGAAGCAAACCGTTCTGCTTCGCACCAAATGGAAGCAACACTTCATTTTACTCAACACATGATAACATTTTGGCTTTTCTTTTTGATGCAAAACAAACTAAAATTTTACATCAATTCTCCATTCTTAAACCTCCCACACCTTCAATACAGTCATGCTGAAAAAATAATTTCCTTGCCCAATGCTATGCCTGTCCTTGTTGACCTCTTCTTTTTGCCCATTCTTTGATTTGCAAATTTTGGGGGTTATTTAAGCAACTTGAGCCAAAATTGGTACAAAATCCAGTTGTAAAATATGTCATTTCAATTTCCTTCCAGCCTTAATTCTGTGGCAGTGACACAGTGAGAAGTTTCTCTTACTTAAAGGAAGAAAACCAAAATTTTGTAAAAGCGAAGGGACATAAAGATCCACTCTGTTTCTGTAAAAAGAATTAAAGCAAAATGAACAAACTTTTTCCACTAGCATTTTGAATGCTGAATGAGTGTGTTCAGTAAAGACACGGAGGATCAGAATTGTTTTTGTGTTATTTTAGGCACATTATATTTGTCAATGCTCTCAAAATAGACAATGGTTAGATCACATTTTCTGACAAATTAATGCAGAACATCATGAAATTCCAAAAGGTTCACATACTTTTCCTTGCAATTGTATATAGTGTGGCTGTGACTCCACAGAACTTGCAACAAGACAGATCTTTTTGTTCTGTAGCATGGCTTTCTGTGACAGTTTGAACCAGCACATTGTAATTTTAGATAAATAAAACACTACACTGTTTTTAAACTAAATTGGCCATTAAATATATAATTTATATAAATATATGAGCATCTCTTTCTATGTGTAAAGCTGTGTATGCAACACTGGTCCCCATGTGTTGCCGTTGCCAGATCTGGTTGAGAAGTGTCCCTGCTCACGACAGGGAGGTTGGATTACATGATCTCTAAGGTCCCTTCCAGCCTCGGCCAGTCTATGAGTCTATGGTTGCTCACATTATTTATTTATTCTAGTATGGCCTTACATTTTTAATATTCTGGAGATCTCTGTACTGACAGCAAATAGCTGTATGAGAACGTTGTCAGTAGGAGATGAAAAGCTGTCTCTTAGCATAGGCGGAGCAGCATTTTGTTTTAAGCATACTAGACAGGATTTTTAGAATTATTTAGCACTAGTCCTCCTGCTCACTTAAATCATTATCATCAGAGGACACAGATAGAAATAGCTGTAACTAAGGCTATCCAGCACTTTTCATTAAAAGATTCAGCTTTCACTTCTTTATAACTCTCTTCCAAGTTCCAGCTAAATTGATCTGGCTAATAATGAAATTAACTAGAAAATGTCTTGTTCATCTTTGGGGAAAAAAACTTCAGTTTATCAAAAATTTCTAATGCAATCATACTAAGGAGCAGGATCTTAAAATCTATCATGACTACAGATGTGGAAAGAGGAGTTACTTTCCCATGTTTCTCCACTGTAATCCATAACCAAATTCACTATTTCTATTTCTCTCTTGCCATCAAATATCTATGAAAACCACTGTCAAAGCATGTTTTTCTTCTAACAGCTTGTGTACACAGAAGATGGTAGTTTACTGCTGCTTTGGATCTAAAGGTGGATCTAAAGCTCTTCTGAGGAATTACATATGGATCTGTATGATTCTGCTCGGTGTATTTCTAGATGACCTCTTGTGCTCCCTTCCAGCTTCTGTGCATTTGTAGCACGGTGGGCAAGATTTATTTTTCTCTTTGTAACTGAGAAATTGAATGTTTAAAGTTTACACTAAGTAACCATTAAGGTTGCGATATCAAGCACTCAAAACCTACAAAATTCTAGTCATTGTATCATGATAACCATCCTTAATGACAAATGCAGAAAACATTCCTGTCTTAGTGCACAGTGGAGCTGGGGAAAGCCAGGCCTGTGGAGACAGCTGGATAATATTGTCTCATTTGCTTCCAAATGAGTAGTAAACCAGAAAGGGACTGTCAAAGAAAGGATCGTCTTGTTTAGACAGTGAATAGATCCCGTAAACCTCAAATCTGCCTCTAACATGGAATTCCTACTTAGGGTTTGGCAAGTCACTTGAATCACATCTATTACAAGTTACTAATATTATATTCCATTCTCCATGACATTTGTAACTACAGCTGGAGCCACTGGGAGCTTGGCTTTGATCATACTAAAGTGCTATAAATGCTGAGCTGAGTTCTGGGTGTTTCTTGTTAATCACCTATCACTACTAAATAACTTTGACATTAACATCTTTATATTCATTTCCCATTTGTAAGATAGGCAAACCAGTACTTTTTAACTTGACAAGAATGTTCTCAAAATGCATTACTAATGCCTACAAAGCACTTGGATATTATAGTAATGAGTATCATGGGAAAATCCATGAGGAAATTAAAAATTTTATGTTCACAATAGGGTTTAAATACTGCGCAGCAGGAAAGGCATGACACTGAATTATGGAAAGGAAGCTATTGAACAAAAGCCTGTTTAATGGGCACTGACCATTGTGTACATGGAATGGAGCAAGACACCAATAGCAAATGCCTTATTAGCACGCAATGATATGATCAGGTGATATGTAGTCATATAATTAGGATGTAATGACAATCTTGTAATGAACGCGTAACAAGCAGGGAGCCTCCCTCCCATTTTTTCTTTCTAACTTATCTTCTTTTCCTTTGAGGAACATATGTCTCAGTACCAGGAGACTTACTTGGGGCAACAGATCTGAAAATCTGTCCCAGTATTCTGTTTCAATTGTAAATTGGCAGATAAAAATTCACTTGGTGAGGTAGTGGTTCTCTACCACTTTTTCCCATAAAAAACCAGCAAAGCAAGCTCTAACAAACCCTGAAAGACAGTATCCTGGGACCACGACAAATCAGCATAATTGAGGGATAGGGGACATACTAGGGGTATATCAGACCCTACCAGTCCCTGGTATACAGAGCTACAAACCCAGCCCACGTTGACAAAAAAAAGTGCCTCTTTTTTAGCTCTTCAATGTAGCTGTACTCAGTACTGGCAAAGCTGCATCTCAAGATTTAAGCCAATTCCACAGAAACAGTTAGCTGTGAAAAAGACTTTTTTTTTCTTTTAAGTCAACATTTGGTTTCAGTGCTAGACCTTTATAGATAGCCTACTGTAATCTCCTAATTATTGTTCCAGGCTATCTGGCTACAGCTTTATATTTCTTTCCATTTAGAAGGGCTAGAAGTACAGTTATTTTAAATAAGACTCTGGAATACATTTCCAGAACATGCCATGCGTCTAGGGGTCGATGTACTCTGCAGCAAGCTCTATGGCCTTGGAAAACTTGGCATCCCTACTTAAATGTCTGTCAGCAAAAGTTCATTATACTTCCAACTACAATTTGAATATCACTGGATGGAGAATAAACTCAAGTTTTTACTCTTTTAAACCTAAAGGCATCTAGAAATAATGTTCTAGAAAAGGCTTTAATCCTCCTGTCACCATCTTGCTATGAAAAACAATCATGTACATTCCTAAGGAATGTACAAAATTGTGGAAACAAATAATAAACAACATAAATAAACATCCTCTCCCACTTTACCAATGTAGCTGATGTTGCACTGCAATTAACATGCAATGTTCACTTCTAATAAACACTGAGAATGAAAGTCTCCTTAAAGGCAATTCTTCCTGCTCTTCTGCCTTTGGCCCTGTGTAGCCTGCTAATACTGAGGAGCAATCAGGCAGTACGATATCCCATGGCATTTCTTGATGATATTCAAAGGTGATTCTTTTGACTTTGTACTTGGGAACTCATCTAAGCATGTTTACACAGTGGAGATCTCAGGAATAAAAAAGATGAAATAGAAGGAAGGCTATCACAAAAATACTGGCCCCATGCAAGGCACAAAATATGATTCATGGCAGTTTATTGCACTTCCTTGTTTTTGTCTATCACCAAAGCTACTAAGCAGGAAAGTAGATCTAACAGATCTAACACTCACTGCAGCCATCAGAAAGTCGTCCACGCAATTCAGAAGCTTTCAGATGATGGTGCTGAATTACAGAGGATAAACTATTTTAACCTGTACAGAACAATTTCCAGTTTTGTGGGCTAATGAATATCAATAGCTTCGGCATCCCAGCTTCGAGAATATATCTCTCAGAGTCCTTCTTTGAAGAAGAGTGTATTTCATATAGCTGCATGTTTTCCAAGTAATAACAAGAAAAGTAGACTGTATGCAGTGGAATCAGAACTAGGGCAAGTATTTCTACCCTACAACTAACACTCTTAATTTGGTGGCTTTAGTGGGTTTATTATTAAATCCATTAGTAAATTTATGAGTGCATCTATCGTTGTGGACCTTCAGAATATTGCAAGACACAATCCTAGATGATTTACTTGTTTTGCTTTACAAGGAGAGCTGGATCAAGTGGATCCCCCACTTTTCTGCATTCATAGGATAGCAGAAGAGTTGCTACCATTTTGCTAGCAGAGTCACTGCCAACATTCTGTTATTCAATTCCTCTTACTCCCAAGTATATCTTCTAGAGCAAAAAACAACATTACTAAAATTACAAATCACCTTCAGCCAAAACAAAGTTGATTTCTTGGCTTCTGGAAAATAACAACAATGAAGAAAATAAGACATTTTGGGGCATTTGAAATTTAATCTTCATCTACCTACATTTGCAGTCCTTCTGGTTTTTGGCAAGTTCAAAGCCAGGCCTACATTCGCAGGCAACCCCACCTTTGGGTGTCTCCCGGCAGATGTGTGCACACCCATGATCTTTGTTCATACAGTTCATACCCTCTGTGAAAAAAAGAAAGAAAAATGGAAAATATTAGTACTAAAATAAAATTACAAAATAATTACACACATTCAGTCCTCCAGTAATTTTAACTGTAATTTTTTATTTTGCATCTGGAGTGTGTCCCACAAGGCAAAAGCAGGCAGCTGAAAAGGGGCATACAATCCACAAAACAATGTAATAAAGTACAAATCTCCTCTCCAGCAAATACAACAAGAAGTACTGCAGAATATACAGTGTCTCTGCTGTGTGTAGAACCACAGGATTTGTGATTCCTCTATTCTGTATCTATATTCCAATATTTCATGAAAATATCATGGACTTAAAGGATATTCCAGGCAGTTGTTTGTCACACAGGTGATTATCAGAGTTGAATAACTGAGCTCATTGTTACTTTTCACTTGTATAAATTTAATAGTTGCTACTATCTGGTGCATTTCTATTTGCCTGTTAACCTGCTTTATATTTTCTAACACACAAAATCTACCAAAGATTTTATCTGAGCATTTCTGTTTGGATCTCTTTCTTCACCATTTACTATACATCTCAATTATCTGTGAAATCCACTGTAAGTGCAGCCCATCTTCAACGAACTACTACCACTTTTCTCTTTCATTACCTTAAACAAAACACACCAGCTGTTCAACAAAAGTTCTAGTGCCACGGGTGTTAGCAGTTACACCATGGAGCAGTATCGATCAACTTTCTCTTAATCATCATAGGGCCAATTTTAGTTTTCTAAATCACGTAAGTGATTTAGTTGCTGAATGAGCCTTATGCTCTTGGAGGCTTTCATCACTGAGTTAATTCAAATCTCACATCTTCACAGAAATCTTGAACTCAGTCCTTATGGGTCAGCACCTAGCATTCCTTGTGTGAAGAAGGGAGGCTAGCTAGATTTGCATTACAAAGGCTCTGCAGACTTCCCCTCGGATATCTGACCTGGAAAGGAGAGACAAATTCTCTCAGAGTACACTGACAGAGAATTCACAGCTAACCCAGCTTACTACTGTGAAAACAGCATGTACGCCCCAGAACACTGGTGTGTACAACATCAGTGTGGAATTAGTAGCTCACTCGTCACTTTGTAACCTGACTACTCCTACCTACTCTAGGCTAGTTTCTCAAAACAACTCCAATGTAAAATGTTCAACTTAAACTTACAGTGAAAATTTACTGTAAATGCTTTTTTTTTTTTCCCCAGGGCCACTGCAAAGTTTTTGCTTGCCCTCCCTTTTTATTCTTACAGAAACTACATGAACGTACCTGCCAACTCTGGCATCTACACACACTGCCTCTAGGCTGAGGCTGGTCTGACACTATCTAATACTTGAAACCAACGTGTCAGGGCTTCATGATGAATTTGAGCTAAAGTTTCTGTGCATATAAAATATTTTCTAACTGAATACAAATTAGTGTATAAGCCAGATACTAAGAAACCTTTGGTACAAATTTCAGAGAAGGAAACGCTACAGTAAGTCAGTCAGAGATTCCCACAGATTGACAGAAGCTACCAGCTTCAGAAGTTATTTGCACTGCTCTACTTTACCTCAGAAAGGTTTGTATTAGCAGAGTAATGAAAAACACACATCAGCCCAAGCAGGTATTGTTGTTCATCTGCCCTACGAAAAAACCTCAGTACTTACGAAAACCAACATCATAGAACACACATCTATTTCTCCCTTCTAAATTCCCCTCTGTGTTGGCCTTGATGAGTTTGAAAATTGCCAAAGCACAAAGTAATTTCTTCTCCGTAAAAGACAGCCTGGAAAACAGATGCTATTAGAAGACAGAATACATAATATATATTATACTATCCTATACATCTAAGGGAGGTATGAATGTTTTGTTTGGCTGACCAGCTATAAGAAACCTGGGAATGGCCTTATTGAAGGTTTTGAGGCATTTTATAATCTCTTTCTCTCCACTTCTCCCAACAAAGGATTTCAGACACAATGTGTTTGACAAACTGCAGTCCTGCGCACTACGCTATATTCAGAAAAGGATCTGGGAAAGATAACACATGCCTGATTGAGTCACACTGCTGAGGCAATGAGAAGAGAGGAATTAGATAGATGAAAGAAGATATTTAATGGCCCAGAAGTGTAATGAAGCAAGTGATTTTCAGTGTTTACTTACGGATACTGAATATCTGTCATTGTTAAAATCACTTGGGAAGACAGAAATTGTGCATTGCTAAAAATATCGAAGATCCGAATTACTACATTTTGAAACAAAAGTGAAAGACAAGGCAGAATTTTATGCTGGTATTTGTGTATAAGACCACAACATTTCAGTTATTGTATTAATCATTTCAGTTATTATACTCATTGGTAGTTGGAGCAGTAGAAACACTATTTCAGTTCCCTGTTTACCTGGAGAAGAACATTATAAAAATCTCCTAAGCCTGAAAATCATTATTTCAGGAAACGGTAAGTTTTCCTGGTTAAATGAAGCATCATTATTTTTCAGTTGAGAGCATGAATGCATCCACAATGAAACTTCTTATTTATATCTTAGTATTTTTCAAAATCCCTAGGAATTAAATTACAAAAAATTCCTAAACAAAATTTTGCTTAGGGCTGAAAAAAGTTTAAATAAAAATGCAGCAAATAAATATTTTGGTTTGTTTAAAAATGTAATATAACACAAATCTGTGCTAATTTGCAAATAGCTTTAATCATTCCAAATTTTAATTTTTAAGCAAATGCAGAATTTAGCCAGTTATCTTCTGTATCAATCTACATAAATGATTTATGAATCATTGTTGATACGTAAGATTTACTTTTTTGCAAGCTGACTCTTCAGGCAATACTGAATCTTCTATGATATGGCATATAATTTACACTAAAAAATACAGAAATATGCTAAATACCTTCCGAATAGTAGTTTAGCTGCAATACATATGCATATAAATAGGAGCGAAAAATACTCCTAAAATGACTTTGCTCAGAATTCTCTAAAGAGAAAATGAACTAGAAATACATAAACCACTTCACACATATTTTCCTTTACTGGAACCAGATGGAGGCCACTGCTGGCAGTAAAATTACTGGTCTGCTGTCTGCACACTGCTCTGCTAGCACAGAAGTACTGAAATGTCTGAGTTATCACCTCCTCTCACTATCACCTTCTGAGAAACAAACTTTTGCCTTATTTTAGTTAATGTTTAGCAGCCACCTAATGTGTGCATTTTTTTTTACGTAAGGAACCAAGAGTGTTAGTTATAGCACGGGAAAACTTCCCCTGATGTTAAAGGGGGATATTATTAAGCATCTCAGTGTCACCGTGGTTTTCAGCCTCCCTGACCCCAGTTTGAAGGGTGACCCGACGGGAAGGCGGGCAGCATGCTTCCAGGCCTGCTGGCACTGCCGTGGGCAGGCAGCCGGGAGGCTCCTCTTCTCAGGGATGGCAGCACATAGCTCCACCAAAAATGCTGGGTTGCCTATGGCAGTAGCTGGCACAATTAAGGCCAAATAACATGATTTGTAGAAATGGGCAGAAAGCTAGTCATTCAAGCAAAAAACCACAAGCATGGAAAAATTGGGCGGGATTCTCCTGCTTATTTCAACGTCCTTCGAGTTTTTCTCTTAGTCACCAGAAGCCTCAGCTCAGTGGAGGAGCCCCAGCACCCAAGAGGAGTGCCCCGTGCTTCACATGTTACTTCTTGCTAGAGCTGACCACTGTAATATAGAACCAGGGAAGAGAAGGGAAACACAGAATTATTCTAAGCCTTTCCCAGGACAGTACAGAATTATGCCCAGAGAAGTTTTACTTCAGTATGTTGCATGGCCTGGGCAAAATGTCAGGCAATAGGTCTTCCACCTGAGTCTTAACCAGAAAGTATTTGCAGAACTACCTTTTACAATACAGCCTTATGGTCTGTCTCTCTCTCTGCCCCGTTGTATGCACAACTGCATCACTCTGGTTTTGAAGACAAGGAGCTGTTCCTAAATGCTCCGATTTTATTTTTTTTTGCAATGGTTTGTGTGGCCCAGCTTCTAGAACTGCTGTGACTATGGGTAAAATGAAAAAACATAGTTCCCAAATCAAGGGAAAGACTCAATGTTGATAAAAGAAGTCCGTAGATCAAAACAGTCCTTATTTTATTGTCATGACGCTAAGATGTCCAACACTGAAAGGTTCTAGGTTTTTCAGATTAACTGTTAAGCAGTATCTTAATTCCATATGCTGCTCTCAAGACAGTTTCCTAAGCACAAAAATGGATGCATATTTTCTTTAGCAGTGCTGGCAGAGAGAAAAATAAACTTTTCAAACACAGACACATTCTCAGCAAAATCACCTTACAGTAAGACAGCAAAACACAATCCAATGGAAAATAAATTATAAACAGGAAGAGAAATGCCACTTAAGAAAGGAAAACCCTAATCTAATCAAACTAAATCCTCTCTCAGTGTTTTAGATATGACTTGAGAAACTCTCTCCTGTTGCATCCCCGGATTTTTTTTTGACTTTCAGTTACAAAAGACTGCTCACGGGAGACTGGCAGACATTGTTACATGACCCAAAATCCACATTCATTTTTGTTCCTGGCCTAGGAGAGATTTGGGTGTGAGCCTACTACCTTAATCCAGTCTGCCATCTAGTTATCACAAATCTCTTAATAGTGCTGTCTGCAAAATGTTCAGCCTGATACAACGACCTCTCCATTGTATTATGCTCTGAAAATGTTTTCAGCTCAATGGCTCTGAAAGTGCTTAAATCAGGCTGACTGTGACAACTAATGTACTGATCAGCCTTCATTTTTCATTAACACTGCCTGTTCGCATCTTAATTAGGACTTTTAGCAATGATTTTACTCTGTGGTTCATCATATATGCTTACATTATCCTCTATGTTGTCATAATTTCACTTACTCTCTATTTATATTGCTGCTACTTTTTATAACTTCCAAAATACCATGTTGGTTCCAAGGACAATCTGAAAAAGACTACTTTAAATTGCACCAAAGATGTAATCCAGTAATAACTTCTAGAATATT